TTTATTTCTATGTATTTTGTTGTCAACTTAAATCAAATTTTTATTGTAGGATTAGAATCAATGAATTCAAAATCGAATGAAGATGATCAAGGGCACAAGAATTAACAAGTTTCAAGTTAAATTTATAATCAATTTTCAGAAAAATCGGTAAAAAAAAGTGGTTGAAAAAAGTCAATCCGAACCTTTAGATCTTGCTAATGCTAAAATAATCTCCTGAGAAATGGGTTCCTATAGTTCAAGTGTGATCCCATGATTGGCTGGCTCAAATTTTAGGTTCTGCAGATATTAAATCATTAGTTTCTCAATTGAATTTTATCCGTGCAGGTAGCAAAGCCTTCTATTCCAGGTTTGGTGGCTAACTTTAGTGCAGTTTTTCTTCGCAGTTTTTGGCCAATCAAGTTTCCAACAGGTATACATTTGCACAGTTTAATTACTTGATTTTAATGATTTTTTCTTCACTCTAGGTTTATTTTAAATTAAATTTAGTTATTCTTCTGCAGCCTCCAACAATTTTGCCAACAGATTTTTGCTTCTGACAAACAGTTTTCTGCCACTCAAACTTCAGATTAACGTCACGTTTGTTCTGTGTATATTTCTTAATTCCCGTATGTGCTATAAGATAGGAAGAGACTCCTGAGATTATTTGTTTAAAAAATTATAATAATAGAGACATGAAGCTAAAAGTGAACTTTTAAGGTCATTTAAAACACACTCGTACATGACTTATATTAGAACGTGAAACGAGATATTGTAAATCTAATCCTATAAAGAATTTGATATCACAATTGACTCCTCAAAATAGCCCTTCCTTTTAGATTAATAACATGGGAATCACTATTTTTTATTAAGGACGTTTGGGAGAAACTAAAGGATGATCAATGCACGTTTTGTCTGAGCTCAAAGCAAACCTCAATTTAAAATAAGAAATTATAATATAATTTAAGACATCGATCTTATTTAACATCACTACATAAGTTAAGTGTGCATAAATACGCATGTCCCGACCTCGCTTACTTGCCCGACTGAGGTTTGACAGGACACGAGATCTATCCCATTAGAAGGCAGCAAGCCAGTTCAAAAAACCTTTTCAGAAACTACAAAACTTCCCGGGTTGATGGTAATGCTCTTGGTGCAATTATCAGTTTTGTAGATTCCAACAAGCCGATTTGCCAACTCAAACATGTTGTTCCGAAGGCTGCATATTGCATAAAAACAGACAATAAATGCGTATGTTCTGTAGTGGTTCAAATAATAGAACATATAGCTTCTATTTGGTCCCTATTTCTTAAAAATTCATTTTTTTCCCAAATTCATTTTCAACCACAACTTTTATGGAACCCACAATTTTTATCAACTTTTCAACCACATCTTTCC